TGCAAGTAATCAATTAATTCTTGAAAACATAATTTATTAGCAGCTATCAAAACTTTAAGAATGTTTGAAACGTCTTGATCATTAAATGAAAGAATGCCGCCATAAATATATCTAAATTTATGAAGAGGATTTTAAAATAAAATTAAAAATTATCATATATACTATACGTTAATTGTATAGATAACGCTTACTTTAAAATAATTTGAAAGGTTTCCGGTGAAATATTTGGCAATTTCAAATGTGTCAAGGTATTATTATCATTACTTATTTTACTTGAAGACAAAATTCGTCGTAAATAAGGAGAACGCAAAATATTCATATGCGCACGGAATATTTTTACATTAGGATCTCAACATTAACATCATAATAATTATCATCATTCAATAATTCAATATAATTTTGACTTAATGTTGGAAAAAATTGTGCTGACATTTTACAAAAATTCTACTTTAAAGGAGAAGAGGAATGGAGGAAAGGCAGCGACTGCGACTTTTTTTATATTTTTAAGGTGATCAACAAGCATAACGTAATTGCACCAGATTTAGACATATACAGCATTAAAATATGGTAGCCGGATTTTATTTGCCGGGTCACATATACTTATTAGGGGTAACGTATAATTGTGATAATTAGCAATTTTTCTCACAAAAAAAAATTCTGTCCCCCGAATACTTAGTAATTGAAGAACGGCTGGGATGTGAAGCGAAATGACAAATTTGCTAAACCCTTTAACTAATCCTAATTCGACCCTAATCCTAATCCTAATCCAAACCCTAACCTTAATAATAAATACCCGGAAAATAAAGTCCGGCTACCATATTTTACTACAATTCTAGCTTTCAAGTTACGATTTCGCAAAAATAAAAATAGTTACTAAATATAAGATAAACACTTTTTGATATATATTTAGCTTTAAAATATTATTACAAGGCCCGAGAATAGAATTACAAGCATTTTTAAGTTTTTTGGTATTAATTTTTTGTAATGGTCTTCGAGCAGATCGAGTCGACCCGGGACTCTCGAGTCGGGACTATCATTTTTATGACACGAGTCCTAATTCAAAAAAACATGTCCCGTTTTTGCTTGCCCGGTTGACCCGACCCCGGATGATGATTTAAACAATATTATATAAATTGACTCGCTAGACCTTTTTTTTGTTTTTACATTTATGCGACTTTAATTTGTAACAAATAAATAATGAGTAAACATATTGACGTTACCGAAAGTACAACTTCTAGAATACGAAAAGGATTACGGTGTGAACAATTGCAGGTAAAAAAAAAAAAATTATCGAATATTAAATATTAAATAATACATTTTTTATAAAGCAACAAGTGTTCCATCAGAACAAGTTTTTTCTGTGGAACCCGATCTGATATTAACCAAAAGATGTGGTCTTAAAGCTAATACAATTCGTGCTTGAAATCCTTGCTTACAAAAAAAAAAATATTTTCGGCATCATTTTTTGGTATGAAGATCAAAATTAAATATCAGTGATAAATTTATTTCATGGTGCGCCACCACTTTTTGTTATATAACTTTAAAAAAAAAATAGAAGTGACCAATTTATAGGCTTTTTTAAATAAACTCTCTGTTAAATAATAGATTAGATGTCTTTTTATTGTAATATGAATTTAGCCATTATAAAATTGGCTGAATTATAGAAATTACCTAATTTGGCTCAAAAAATCTAAATAAAAATCATCCCTTTTTTGATTTTTAATATGAAATATTCTTAATAGACATAGATTTCTGATTTTTTACTATATATTACTTAAAATTCTTTTTAGCAGTAGTTTTAGATTATTTGCATTATAAAAATAATTAGATGGGTGTAATGAATCACATGATTATAAACCAATAAATTTATTTCACGTGATCGTATTAAAGCTAAAAAATTTGGCCACAAAATAAAAAAGTGGTGGCTTTAGACCGTTCGCACCATATATTAAATACAATTGTTAAAATTTTACAAATTCTGCAATATCAAATGAGCAATTTAAGTAATAATCATGAGACAATTTAAAAGTGAAACCACTAAAAGAATGAGACACCCGAATAACGTGAAGCGCATCTTACATAAGAGAAAAAATCAAAAAGGCAAAGAAGGGTAAAAGATATGGCTGAAGACCACAAGCCATACCTTAGAAACATTCAGGAAAGAAGGCAACAAAGACTACTAAGGAATGTGAGGTTTATCAAAATCATTTAAACGAATATGATGTGCAGGTTAAAAGAGAATAAACAGAGATAAAATAAACTGACTTGTAGATACAAAGCAAACCCTTAGTGATAGCAAATTAAATGATGATTCATTAATCTCAGCCACTAGTATCAGTAAAAGAGGAACAGAGCCATATAGGAGATTACAATTTCATCTCTAACGTTGGTTAGCCGTTCCCCTAAATGATTTGAGGGCTATGGGAAGATTATTTTGCTTTCTACCCTCCAATTTCTATGCCTTATCTCATTTCCGTTCATGGATATTTCACGGTAAGAATGAAATCTTATTACTATTGTGTATTATTTTGAATTTTAAAAAATAATATACATATTTGTTTAATTTGTTTAACAGGTTAGTAATAATCGTCGTTCTTTATGGTCGGCTGCAGACAACGAAGGCCTGGTAATTGAACTATATATATATTTATGCTGTAATTATTGTATGCTAAAAAATAATAATTTTTTATTAATTAATCGAATATCGAATGTCAAATTATAGGCGGCGGATGCGTTAGCTAGAATAAAAGTTTCATGGAATAGATATTTATTTGAAATTGTCTTACCAAAGGCTTGGGCGAAATTTCTTCGTGAGCTCCCG